CCTCGATATCTACGGCTTTGAGATCTTCCAGGTCAGAATGGAAAAGGGCCTGGGCAAATAGTTTGAAGAGGGGTGTTCTGGTTACAGTTGTGTACCTGTGTCTGTGTCTGTGTCTATCTGTGCGTCTGTCTGTCTGTCTGTCTGCGTGTGGATTTTGCCTGTACCTCTGACTGTCTGCCATCTTGCGTGTGCAAGCCGCAACCTCACATGTTCACGTACCAACACGACTGTACCATGGCACAACACCCTTCCCCCGACACAAACACACACAGCACAACTCGTTTGAGCAGTTTTGTATCAACTACTGCAACGAGAAGCTGCAGCAGCTGTTCATCGAGCTCACGCTCAAGACAGAGCAGGTGTGCTTGCGATGTTGTGTCCATGTGTTGCGATGCTGTTGTCACGCTTGTTGTGATGTGTGGTTTGCTATCGCTCACAGTATTGTTCGTGCTTTCCCCGTCTCCACTCACGCCGCACACGCCGCACACGCCACACGCTCGCTTCCACACCAGGACGAGTATCTTGCTGAGGGCATCGACTGGACACCCGTCAAGTACTTCAACAACAAGGTGCGCGCAGCTGAGCTGAGATGATGTGTGCACGGTATGCATGCACACGCGCTGTCACCGTAACACATGCACACATGCACATGTGATCTCGCATGATGTCACACACCTCACGACCATGACCCCATCACCACCATTATACCATCACCACCACACCACACCACCACACCACACTCAGATCATCTGCGATCTGATTGAGGAGAAACCGCGCGGAATCGTTGCGCTGCTGGACGAGGAGAGCATTCGCCCCGGCGACAAGTCCGACACGATTTGGCTCGAGAAGCTCTCGTCCACTTTCAAATCCCACGACCACTTCAAGGTGCAGTTTTGTGCATGTTTTGTGTGTGTGTGTGTGTGTGTCTGTCTGTCTGTCTGTCTGTCTGTCTGTCTGTCTGTCTGTCTGTATGTGTGTCTGTGGCTGTGTCTGCGTGTGTCTGTGATGTT